TAGGAATGTATGTGATTTTTGCACGTTGATTTTGTATCCTGAGACTTTGCTGGAGTTGCTTATCAGTTTCAGGAGATTTTGGGGTGAGACGATGGGGTCTTCTAGATATACAATCATGTCGTCTGCAAATAGAGACAATTTGACTTCCTCCTTTCCTATTTGAATACCCTTTATTTCTTTTTCTTGCCTGATTGCTCTGGCTAGAACTTCCAGTACTATATTGAATAGGAGTGGTGGGAGGGCATCCTTGTCTAGTGCCAGATTTCAAGGGGAATGCTTCCAGTTTTTGCCCATTCAGTATGATATGGGCTGTTGGTTTGTCATAAATACCCTTTATTATTTTGAGATATGTTCCTTCAATACCTAGCTTATTAAGGATTTTTAGCATAAAGCGCTGTTGAATTTTGTCAAAGGCCTTCCCTGCATGAATTGAGCTAATCATGTGGTTTTTGTCTTTGCTTCTGTTTATGTGGTGAATTACGTTTTTAGACTTGCATATGTTGAACCAGCCTTGCATCCCCGGAATGAAGCCTACTTGATCATGGTGGATAAGCTTTTTGATATGCTGTTGCAATTGGCTGGCCAGTATTTTATTGAAGATTTTTGCATCTGTATTCATCACAGATATTGGTCTGAAGTTTTCTTTTCTTGTTGAGTCTCTGCCGGGTTTTGGAATCAGGATGATGTTGGTCTCATAAAATGATTTGGGAAGAATTCCCTCTTTTTGTATTGTTTGGAATAGTTTCAGAAGGAATGGTACCAGCTCCTCTTTGTATGTCTGGTAGAATTCGGCTGTGAACCCGCCTGAACGTGGGCTTTTTTTGGGTGGTAAGCTCTTAATTGCTGTCTGAACTTCAGACCTTGTTATGGGTCCATTCAGGGTTTTGGCTTCTTCCTGGTTTAGGCTTGGGAGGAGGCGAGTGCCCAGGAATTTATCCATTTCTTTCAGGTTTACTAGGTTATGTGCATAGAGTTGTTTGTAATAATCTCTGATGATGGTTTGAATATCTGTGGAATCTGCGGTGATATCCCCTTTATTGCATCTATTTGATTATTCTCTTTTTTATTAATACGGCTAGTGGTCTGTCTATTTTGTTGATCTTTTCAAAAAACCAGCTCCTGGATTTATTGATTTTTTGGAGGGTTTTTTGTGTCTCTATCTCCTTCAGTTCTGCTCTGATCTTAGCTATTTCTTGTCTTCTGCTAGGTTTTGAGTTTTTTTTGATCTTGCTCCTCTAGCTCTTTCAAT